TAAATTGTATATAAAGATTTTTGTTTTTCATTTTTTTTTTTTGTTTTCCTTTTATTTTCATCATAATTTCTTTCTTTTTTGTATTATACTAATATATTTCTATCTTGTAATTCTCGACATTCTAAACGGATGGATGAAACATTCTAAGATAGAGAGAAGGTATAGAGTACATTAACTTGTTCATCGATCGGGGGAGGGGGAGGAGGAGGAGGTGGTGGGGAATCTATAAAGAGATCGGCATCATCCTCTCTATCGAGAAAATATCCACTCCCACGGTTTCTTTCGTACCATTCACGTTAATTAAATACCGTGGAAATTACGGTAATTATTTTATTAGATTGAATAAAAAAAAAATCAATTTTTCTCGTCGAATACAAGGAAAAAGAAAACATACACACGCGCACGCAAATATAATAATATTACTAAAAATAAATAAATAAATAAGACAAAACAATTTTTCATGAAAAAAAGAAGAAAAAAGGAATATTTATTACGTTATTAATAAACGAATGGTAAAAAAAAATTCTACAATGAAATACGCGTATCATTGATTAGATAAATTTGATACTCTTGTAAACAAAACAAAAACAACTATGCAAGAATTTGTTAAACGATTTGATATCTTAATTAACATTATAATATATCGATCATGTAAATTATAAACGAATGATATATTAAAATTCTTTGAATAAAAATTAACGAACTTTACAAAAACAAAATCCAATTGTTTTATTTTTCTAATGCATGTTCGCATACTTCAAAATCTTATAGTATATATATATATATATGTATATTTTAATGACACAAAAGAGTTTCTTTAAAACGCCTACTTCTTACGACAGTCTGGTTCTTACGACAGTGACTTCTGAACATTTCACTTCCTGATCATCCCGTACTATAGAAGGGAATGTATTATGTAATCATTTTAAACGTTCGACTTTTAAAATCCCCTTTGGAGAATCATCTCATCGACGCAATCAACCGTATCCCCATTTATATATCACATAAAACAAGCTTAAAACTATTTTTACGATTTTTTTTTTCTTTCTTTCTTTAATCCCCTCACACACACGAGACGATGTATTTTACGATAATGGCAATGTTTTTCTACGGTTCATTAATGAAATCACACTCGGATTATATTGCATTTGAATTATTCAATAAGTAAAAGGAATCGCGTCACGAGAATTGCAACGAAATATATATATATAGTCTTTTTTTTTTTTTTTTATTTATAATTATCTAAAACGTCATCGATCAATACCGTTATCTTTTATAATATCTAACCATCTCGAAGACAAAAATAAAGATGAAATAAGGAAACGCGTAGAAGAAATAAAAAAAAAAAAAGAAAAAAAAAACAACGATATCTAATTGTAAAAAAAAAAAAAAAAAAAAAAAAAGAAAATGTGAATGATCGATCATAATAGGTGGTACCGCTTTGAGTAACGTCATCGACAAGAAACCCCGTTATATCATTAAAACGAATCAGACAAATTGATTACCGGGATTCTTCGATAATTAACCATATCCTTTTATAACGTCGAATTAAAATTGAATTTATCTTTTTTACCTGATTGATCCGTCAAACGTGACAGTTTGACAAACCCCGAATATAAACGCGATAGGGGGGGGGGGATTTACTTTTCATATTTATTATTTAATACAATTGTTATATATATATGTCACATACGCGAATTCTCGTCAAATTAATTTTGAATCGACGTTTGTCTCGTTAATTAAATATACTACGTTAATCAAATATTTATATATATAT